GTGTGGACGTATGCTCTCTCTCTCTCTCTCTCTCTCTCTCTCTCTCTCTCTCTGATGCCTTGGAATTTTCCTTTATTCATGGACAAAGCATTCTCTAAGTTAATAATGGGGATTTTCTTTTTATACTTCTTGGTTTTTTGTTTTTTATTTGCAGACATTTTGGTGGATTTTTCCTGTTTCTTGGATTGACGATCATGCATTTGGTTGAGATGCCAGGAGTTTTAGAGCTTCTTTCAAGAATTTTCTGGTTTGTTGTTTTTTGTTTTGGTACTATTATCTTAATTTTTTTAATTATTTGGAGAATTTTTTCTAATATCTCTTGTAACTAGGAGTACATAAAAAGGAAAAGTATGAAGGAAAAATATACAAAAAAATCATTTATTTTTGGTACAAGAAACTATCACTTTTATATGTCATATTTGAAATCAGGTGGTTGTTTATTTAGCTTCAAAATTAAAAAAAAAAAATTATCCAACTTTGTGACATACCCCAAGCCGTCTAATTTGATAATGACTAAGTGCAATTGTGACCTACTTATAGTCTCATAGTATATAATCCCTACATAAAAATATTTTTTTTATGTTCATTATTTTATGCTCATGTCTTTTTTTATGTATTTTCACTTTTAAAAAATACCCCTAAATTTTTTAATGGTCTTTTGGGAGAGATTAATTTTGAACTTTAGGTTCTGAATCAATATTTTTATAAACCAATTGATTTGGGATATATAAGTTCTGAACTGGTTTTCACTCTAAAAAACAAGCAAGTTAACCATTTTGAAACTCCCAAGTTCAAAATCAGCTTGCTTGTCTTTTTTATCTTTTTGTCTTTTGTTTTTTTTTTTTTTTTGGGTAAATGAGCAGGTGCTCTAAGAGTAGACAAGTGAGCTGGTTCAGAACTTGAACTTACAAGTCAATTGAGTTGGTCTGGTTTTTTGTAACTGTGTAGTTCGGAACTTCATATTCCAAACCAGTTTTATTAATGAAAAACTTGGTTTGGAACTTGAAGTCTTGACCATAAAAGTATTTAAAAAAATAAACAATATGCCAAAAAGACACAAGCATGAGATATAAAATATAAAAGGCCATTTTTAAATACCAATTATTTGTAAATTTCAATATCTTTTTAATCAGGTATTTTTGTGTGTGAATAGGCCACTCCTGCTGACATCATCAAAGGCATCGTACAAATTTGGGAATTCCACCATGGTTAGTTCCATTTTAAACTTACTGCATTTCATAAAGGATATAGTTTCACCTCGAATACTTGTTTGAAGAGTACTTTGGGTATTGAATATCTTCATAATGGCTCTAAAAAATCAATTCTTAACACCAATTGTGAAATTTGAAGCTCAAAAAAGGGCACAAATCTTACAAATTAGTGGCCACTTATTTTTACAGTGAATGGACGGCCTAGATAAAATATTATATATACACTATTTGTAGGACTTGAAATCCTTTTTTTTTTTTCACGATCATAATGGTCAAGGCCAATATGATCGATTTGAAATTTTTCAACTCCAAAAAGTAGAATTTTTGGTGAGTTTTAAGGCGAAGCTTTACTTCTTTTGATAGGGTTGTAGCCCTATCTAAACATTTTCCTTTCATAAAATTTAAGAGACTTTGTAGTATCATGGAGTACTCTTGTTTGGACCTTTGTTCTTACATCTTTCTTCAAAGAATTATTTTAAGGGTGCAGTTCGTGTAAGGTGTGAACTTCAATAAATTAAAGTAAGGTGTACTTCTAAATCTTGATAAAAATTGTGCTTAGAGTGTCCAAAATACTTATGGTCTAAAAATCTATTTCATACCTAATTATGAAATTTAAAACTTTAAAAATAGTATAGATCAGGTAAATCTATAAGCATTTAAAATTTTTGAAAATAAATTGTCTAAATTATATGTTACAAAATGCACTAGTTTTAGAATTTGAAATATATACTTTTTTCATAAATTTAGATGATCAATTATAGGGTGTTTCAATGTTAGAGCAACATTTTATGGTGGATTTTTGAGGAACACCTTATTTTTATGTTATAAAGTTGACATTTATGGAAACTTTTTTCTTAATTTAATTATATGATAAATAATGTGGGTTTTTTACACATTTCCTTGTCCACACGACATACATAGACATGAAATTGGTGATCTCCACTTTGACTATTACATACGGAAAAAGTATTAAACAAATTTTCAGGTCCTAAAACGAGTCTCTTGTAATAATTGCGTATGCATTTTCAATTGTTCGTATATCAGGACTATTTAAGAATGGGGTTGGGGCCATAGTAGTAGTATCACTTGTGCCCCAGCTAAATTTTAGGTTTCCGTTATCACCTAATACATTAAAAAATCATTAACAATTTCATAAAACAGGTAGAAGCTCGTCATCCCCACTCAATTGCCCAAAAAACAGATCAGGGCTATTTTTTGGCATTCAAATTATCATGTGCCATTCAATGCTAGAACCGCACTTATTGATGGAATTTGTTGGCGAGAATTTATGATCAATCCTAGACCTTATGATGACTGCACCCTTATTGAAAACACGCTCATAATAGTATAAGCCTATACCTTGTTTCAGGCTGGAGGTGGCAGCGGGCTGGGCCTACCCATAGCCCGACCCTCATTCCCATAAGGCCCGTTTGGCCTTGCTCATCCCGGCCCTAACCACCGGGCCAAGAAGGCCCAGGCCTGGTGGGCTGGCCCGAGCCAGGAAAAATAAAATTCAGAATAAAAGAAATGAAAAAAATAAAGAAAGAAAAGGTCGAGTTGAGCCGGCTTTGGCCCCCACCCCTAGTCCGGGCCTCAGGCCACATTTAGGCCGTTTTGGGCTAGGAATGTAAGGATATCATCTAGCCAGAGCTTATCACAAAAGCTTCCACCCTTCCCAATTTTAGGGGCCTAGGGATGCTTCTTTTTGCTTTGAATTGGCCCATACTTCCTGTTGGCTTATTTGAAGTTTCTAGAAAAAGCTTGAAAAAGGGGTTTTTAGGAGAGACAAAATACAATTATGGACTCTATTTTGGGAAAGGAAAAGAAAGAGAAAAAAAAAGTTAATTTAAGGTTGCAACTTTAAAATGTAGAATTAAAGATGCGTCTCTAAAAATCCATCGGAAAAGGTTGTTTTAAAGTTTTTCAACACTCTAATTGATCATCTCAACACTGAGATGTATAAAACATGAAAAAAGAAGAAGATTTTGAGTCCCAAAAATAGTACATCTTGCAACACATTATTTAGACTGTTCATTATCAAGATTTTGATATGTTTATAGATTTACTTAATTTTAACCATTTTTCAAGTTTAAAATTTTATAATTAGATATGAAAATAAATTTTTAGATAATCCTAATAATCTTTTACACCAACATTATATGTTATGATAAAATTTTGAGGTGCGTCTTAATTGGATTGTTTAAGGCTACAACCTTATAGAAACCACACCCAAAAAAAAAAAAAAAAAGGTCAAGCATTTAGGAGAGTTTCTTAAACCAAAAATTGTTGGCAAAAAGTTATTACACTCCCTCAAGAGTGTACTGTCATTTATTCACTCCAGTGTTACCCCAAAAATTTGGGATATAAGATCTTCAACCCATTAATTAAGCTCAATGAAAAAAATTTCTCTAATTGTATCCTCGACACACTACAAAAAATATATCAAGATTAAATGGAGACTATTTAGTTTTTAGAGGGTGAGATCTAAGTGGTATAAAACATACATTTGAAATTTTTCTTTTGGTTTCCAAAATTTCAAATTAAAAAGTCCTTTTCAGTAGGTCTTCAGACCAAATCAATATAAAATATACTCATATGGAGCCCCAATGACAATGGACCCGGTGATCTGACCCAACCCAACCCGATCCGGACCTGTGGGTTGGGGTTCATGTCCCAATAGTATATATTAAATAATATATAATATATTAATAAAATTTTCTTATTAATATTTATTTTAAATACAACTAGATATTTTTAATTATAATATTTAAATAATATTTGTATATATTTAACATAATATTTAAATATATATTATTAATATTAAATTAATATTTAAATAAATACAACTATATATTTTAAATTATAATATTTAAATAATGTATGTATATATTTAATATTTTATATATATATATATGTATATATTATTGTTTTTGGGTCAGGTACAATCAGAACCTGGACCTGACCTGATTGTTGTCACCTCTATGTTGTGTGTGGAAGCTCTAAACCCGATGAGTTTATTATTGACAAATAAAGTACGAAAAAATAAAACCGACAAAAATATGCAACAAGCAACAAAAATAAAGCAGGAAAGAAATAATAATAAAAAAGAACACAAGGATTTACGTGGTTCGTCACAGATATAACTATATTTATGGGCGAAAACCATCGATGTTTTTCACTAAATCAAAAAAAAAAAATTACAAGGCAACTTACTTGAGATGATCAGAAACTCAATTTCCTACAAAACCGTCTTCTCTACAATTTTCTCTCTCTACAAAAAACCCCCAAAAGTTTCCCTCTTTTTTTCTAGATCGTTTTCTCTCTTAATAACCCAATAAATAGAAAAAGCAAATCCCAAAAGGACGGTACGTGTTGGCCTCTACTTTTCCCATAAAGTTAGAAAACTTAACTTTATCTCTATCTGCTTGTAGATCTAGGGCTCCATCCTAATTTAAGTAGAACTTATCCATAAACTTAGATCCTAAATAATATGCTCTACCCAAATAAATAGGAAGCCTAAATTAAAGAAAAACAATCCCTTACAATTAAGGATTCAAGAATTCAAAATAAATATCAACAAATCTCTACTTTAGCTTAAATTTCAAAAGATATTTCAATCGACCGTCTTCTCCACACGTGCTCTCATAGGTGCTTTTTCGCAGTATATTAATCACAATACATTAGTCAAGTCCAAGCATAGCTTGAACTTTCACAATGGAACTGCTTTGTCAACATATGTACAACATTCTTCTTGGTATCAATCTTTAATAAAAAGATATCACCTTCAGCTATAATCTCACGGAAAAAATGGTATCTGACATCAATATGCTTCGTTCTTGCATGATATGCCTGGTTCTTTGTCAAATGTATTACACTCTGACTATCACAATAAATAATAGTCTCATCCTGTAGTAAGCCCAAATCACTTACAAACCCTCTAAGCGAAATGGCTTCTTTCACTGCCTCAATAACAATCATGTATTCTGCTTCAGTCATAGACAAAGCAAATGTGGTTTGTAGCATCGATCTCCAATTGATCGGAGCTCCTGCAAGTGTAAAAATATAACCTATAGTAGATCTCTTACAGTCCAAATCACCTGCAAAGTCAACATCAACATAACCAATAACCTTATCACCAAACTTGCTATCTATATCAAGCATCAAACCCACATCTGATGTACCCTTTAGGTAATGCAGATTCCATTTAATCGCATGTCAATGCTCCTTTCATGGATTAGCCATATGCTTACTAACAACACTAACAGTATGAAAAATATTAGTACGAGTGCAAACCATTGCAGACATGAAGCTTCCAACTGCACTCGCATAAGGTACATGTGACATGTGTTCCTTTTCATCATCTGAACTTGGAGATAATGTTGTCGACAATATGAAATGTGCAGCAAGAGGAGTACCCACGCGCCTTGAATTTTTTATCTCGAATCTAATGAGGAGGTTCTCAATGTACTCCTTTTGAAATAACCACAATTTACCCAACTTTCGATCTATGCGAATCTTCATACCCAAAATTTTATTTGCTGAACCTAAATCTTTCATCTCAAATTCTTCGACAAGTTGAATCTTCACTTTACTGATTTCTAAAGAATTCTTCGCAGCAATAAGCACATCATCTACATAGAGTAATAAATAGATGAACGAACCATCAGTAAATCTCTTAAAATAGGCACAATTGTCGTACTTACTTTTGACATACCCACGTCCAATCATGAATGTATCAAAATGCTTGTACCACTGCCTAGGAAACTGTTTTAGGTCGTACAATGACCTTTTCGTTTAGCAGACATGGTCCTCATTTCCTTTAACAACAAACCCTTATGGCTGAGTCATATAAATATGATCTTCGAATTCTCCATGAAGGAATGAAGTCTTGATATCAAGCTGCTCTAACTCCAAGTCAACCAATGCAACCATGGCTAGTAAATCCAAAAAAAAAAGTGTATTTCACAACTGGAGTGAAAATGTCAGTATAGTCAACACCTTCTTTTTGCACATAGCCTTTTGCAACCAAACGTGCCTGAAACCGATCACCGCCAATCTTAAGTGACTCATCTTTCTTCTTATAAACTCATTTACAACCAATGACTCTCTTGCCTTTAAGCCACTTCACGAGATCTCAAATATGATTCTTCTGAAGAGATTCTATTTCTTTATCAATGGCTTCACTCTACCTGCTACTGTCAATATCCTGTGTAGCTTCCTTAAAAGTATATGGCTCTTAGCTTGTGGCAGCCAATGCATAAGCCACCATGTCCTCATAACCGTACCGTCCTATTGGATTTTTTTATTCTTTTTTCCTTTCCAAGCTGAAGCTCTTCCTCAAGTGGAGTAGGCTCGATGACCTCCTCATAGTCAACATCTTCCCCCACCCTCTCACAAGGAATTTCTGACACGTATTTTGGAGTATTTTCTAGAGTTGTCAACTCCACCTCAACTGCATCACTATTGCAGTAATTTTCTTTTTCAGTACCCTTTTGAATGTGCTGTAACATAGTAAACTCATCAAACTTAACATCACAACTGACAATAAACTTAGGTAACTTAAGATCTGGGTACGACATTCTGTAGCCCTTAACCCCATCCGCATAACCCAGGAAAATACACTTCTTTGATCTGGGACTCAACTTATCATCCTTCACATAAGCATAAGCAGGGCAACCAAAAAATTTTAAATAAGAGTAAACAACAGGTTTATCGGATCATACCTCTTGTAGTGTTTTGAAGTCTATTGTTGTAGATAGTGTGGCCTATTGACGAGGTAACACATTGTATTGACCACCTCAGCCTAAAAGTCCTTTGACAAACCAACATTACTCAACATGTTGCGGCCCTTCTCTAGAAGTGTTATGTTTATGCGCTCAATAATTCTATTATGTTGTGGCGTCTTCAGAGTGATGAAATGACGAACAATTCCTTCGTTTTTGCAAAAATTCACAAACGTCGTTGAAGTGTACTATCCACCATTATCAATCCTCAAGCACTGGACCTTCTTTCCAGTCTTTCGACCATAGCTTTCTAATGCATAAATGTGTTAAATATATCTGTATTTCTTCAATGTTTAAATCCACACTTCTTTTGAGAAATCAACTACGAAGGAAACAAAGTATAGATATCCACCTTTTGGGACAACTAATGCAAGGCCCCATACATGAATATAATCAAGAATGCCTTTTGTGGTATGTTCTGATGTGAAAATTGCACCCTACACTGCTTACCATAAACACAATGCTCACAGAAGTCCAACTTGCACTTCTTTACGCTATTGATCAATTGGTGTTTGCTAAGTTCCGTCAAAGCTATCTCACCCATGTGGCCCAAACGCATATGTCACAACTGAGCCAAGTCATACTCACTATCATCAGATACGAAAATTGCTGCTCTGTCTGTGATGGTATTCTCGAGCAACAGATATAAATTCGGTATGTTCTTCTTGCCTTTCATCACAACCAAACCCTTAAAAATCTTCATAACTTCATCTACTCCAACAAATTTGCAGCTATTGGAGTTTAAGGCACCTATAAAGATAAGATTCCTCTTTAAATCTGGAACATGTCTAACATCATTCGAGGTTGTCACAACTCCATCATACATCTTGATAGTTTTGCAAGCTGCATCATTCCCTGTCAAAACTGATCTACCATAATACTTTTGTATGTGGTGAACCAATCCCAATAAGAGAACATATAATAGGAACATCATGAATCAAGAACTTACGAGTCTTTAGAGTTGTCACAATTTGTCAAGATTGACAACACATTATTTGTTCTACTTACTGAGCTTCTAACAACAATATTGGCTATTATAGAGGCACGACTTTCTTTCTCTTTGAGGTTCTAACAATGTTTCTTAATATGCTCTTTTTTCTTACAGTAATTGCAATAAATATTATATTTTTCTGATATAGATTTGGATCTATACCAGCCATGTTTTTCATGTCTCTTTCTATTTCTCTCAACAGATCTCCCTCTAACCACTAAACCATCTGCATGTGACTGAGCATTATCTTATCTCTTCCTCAAATCATTAGAGAGAAGAGTCGAAGTCACATCCTCCATCTCTACGATATCTTTTTCATAAAGCAATGTTGTCACTAGATGCTCATACAAATGAGGGCGTGAGGATAATAAAATTATAGCATTATCCTCATTATCTATTTTAACATCAATATTCCATAATTTACAAATAATTTTATTAAAATAATTCAGGTGTTCATGGATATATGTATCTTCATTCATCCGCAAGGTATATAATTTTTTATTTAGAAACAATCGATTTGTAAGGGACTTCGTCATTCATTCGATAAGCACAATCGAATAGTGCTCATAGCCCCTAGATCTAAGTCTTCCCAATCATCACCAAACACAAATTCTGGTTTCTTCGACTTTCTTTTCAGAGTTTTTGTAAGCCTTGTTGCAGTAGCAAATTCCAAACATTGATTTGCCAAATTCCAAAATTATTTTTGTCATCAAATTTCTCCCTCAAACTTTGCATTCGAAACCTTTACTGCTATACCGACAATCCTAAATTAGGCTATGATACGACTTATAGTGTGTAGAAGCTCTAAACCCGACGGTTTGATTATTGGCAAATAAACTACGAGAAAATAAAATCGACAAAAACATGCAACAAGTAACAAAAATAAAGCAGAAAAGAAATAACAAAAAAAAGCCATCAAGATTTACATGGTTCGTTACAGATGTGATTACATCTACGGGTGAATACGATCGATGTTTTTCACTAAAAAAAAAAAAAAAATAACAAGCCAACTTACTTGAGAGGAGTAGAGACTCAATCTCCCACAAAACCTTATTCTCTACAATTTCACTATCTAAAAACAACCCCCAAAAGTTTCCCTCTATTTTTCTAGATCTTTTTCTCTCTCTAAATAACCCAATAAATAGAAAAAGCAAACCCTAAAGAGGTGGTATGTGTTGGCCTCTACTTTTCTCATAAAGTTAGAAAACTTAACTTTATCTCTATCTGCTTGTAGGCTTAGGTCTCCATCCTAGTCTAAGTAGGATTTATCCATAAACTTAGATTATAAATAATACGTTCTACCCAAATAAATAGAAAACCTAAATTAAAAGAAAACAATCCCTTACAATTAAGGATTCAAGAATTCAAGATAAAGATCACCACCACAGCTTGTCACTGCACATGACAACTCCCAGCCATTACATTAAACTGTTAGTATTTTAGTGAAGTAAAATACTAAAGTGTATTTAAAAATTATATAGATATATACGTGTGTTGTTTTCAAAGTTTTAAATTAATAGAAAGATAAAGTAGTGGGCTTTAATCCCACATTGAAGAGTAAGGTGTCGAAAGATTGGTATTAATATAAGAATATTTCCATGGCTTATGTTCATGGAACAAATGAGATAGTGTGGATACTTGTGCTGAGTATACAAAAAACGTAAGTAGGCACGTGTGTGTGCAAGGGCACAAGACGCTTGATGGTGCACTTTGCTGCAAAGGCCCTTAGCTCATACACGGGTTCAAGTAGAGCTTGTTGCTCGTCTCATTTTTACGAGACACGATCCAGAGCCACAGCATTGCATCGAATGACCATGAGTTGATCCAACAACTATGAAACTAGCCGTTGTCAATGGGCACCTTAGCATCGTGCCCCTTGATGGTTGGATTGTGACATCTGAAAACCTGAACGGTTGTGATTATTCACATTAATAGCCACTTCTAAGTGCTTATTCACACTATTAAAGCGCCTTTTGACACCTAATTGTTTACACTTTTATTTACTCGAATTTCACTCTTTATCCAACGATTTTATGCTATCTTTCTCTCTCTAAAAATACAATTCATGCTCACTTTTTCTCTCTAGGTTTAAACAACTCTGGTGTCATGTAGGCTCGCCTGTACAGTGCGACAATAAGCAAGTATTATTATGACTTTTTATTTCTAGATATCTTGAGAACTGCTTTCCCTGGATTACCTTTTTGCACATTATTATTTTACAAGAAGGGGACAAATTAGAATCATGAGAAAGCATTTCTAGCATGACTGTAAACAGAAAAATCAACCTTTATTTGTTTCATCCCTTCATTTCCCCCAATACATACTACAGCCCCCATTTCACCCACCTTATATTTCAACAAAAATAAGCACCAGTAGTGCGATGGGTGTGCATGAAAAGGAAATGCTCTTTTTGTATATCATGAATCCCTTGAAACTATGTTAATGGTACTAGCTACAACTGCAAAAACATCAGAGTAAATTATAAACTAAAAGGGCATCATTTTTTCAAATGTACTCTCATTCCACTTTCTCCCTCATCACAGACAACCGCCCTACTCCAAATGCCCGGACCCTTGGTGCCGGTCTCCGGCACCCAGGCCAACAGATGGCCCCTCTTCGTCTTCCTTGGTGGCTCCATGTTTTGCCTTCTCACAAGTAGCCTCTGCCACCTCCTTTGCTGTCACTCTCAGCGCCTCAACCACTTCCTTTGGCGTCTCGATTATGGCGGAATCTCGATTATGATTGTTGCGTCCTTCTTCCCCCCAATCTATTACATCTTCCAGTGTGAACCTCTCTTCCAGGCATGATTTGAAAGCTTATAAAAACAACGGCTATAATGTCCAGCACAACATGGAAAGAAAAGTATAAAAAAAAAAAAATTTAGTAAAAAGATGTCACAATTACTCTTGTCCGTCAAATTTTAAATGGAGTAGTTGTAAGTATGTGAATGACTAGACTCAAAGTTAAATTCTTTAACTTTGTGAGACACCTCGAGCTATGCAATTTAACATCTAATGGCCAGGAGTGATTGTGACATCCTTTAAACAATAATTAATGATCTTATAGTATATCGGGTCTTGGGACATTGCTTTCAGGTCCTTTATCTCTCTGCAATATCAGTCATGGGAATACTCGTCGTCGTCACCTTACTGAGCCCCGAACTCTCGAGCCCAGCTTTCAGAAAACTCAGAGCAATGCTATTTTTAGCGATGGGGTTTTCTGGCATAATTCCAGCTGTCCATGCGTTGGTCGTGAATTGGAACGAGCCCCTACGTTTCATTACTCTAGCATATGAGTTGGCCATGGCCTTCTTTTATGGAACCGGAACTTTCTTCTATGTGAGTAGGGTGCCAGAGAAATGGAAGCCCGGTTCCTTCGACATGGCGGGTCACAGCCACCAGATCTTCCATGTTTTTGTGGTTGCGGGGGCCATTGCGCATTACGACGCTGCGATGATATTCCTCAAGTGGAGAGATACTGTGGGCTGCAACCAGTTTCAGTGATCTACCCCAGAGAGAGAGGGATGGCAATTCTTTTCAAAAACAATGAACTACAGGCGCATTATTTCGAGAACTATGGATAATAAGGACTACTGGCATTGTGTGTGTGAGAGAGAGAGAAGTGTGGATAATAAGGACAACTGGCATTGTGTGTGTGAGAGAGAGAGAAAAAGGAGTATCAATTTGCAGTCAATTACAGGGGCATTATCCTTAATTGTATGAAGCTTGCAAGGATTATTGACCTGAAATATGTAGCATTCAACTCTTGTTCTCCTGCATGTAATACTATCACTCCTGCTGCAGTTATACACTGCGATTATACTCATTTGAAGAAAACAAAACCTATTACAAGTGGATATCCATTGTTTATCACATCAAATCTTGAAACAATTAGAGTTTTGTATATTCAATAGGTGGACTGACCATGTGCAGTACCTACCCAATACAACCGTTGTTAGGAGGTGCGAGTTGGTTAAAATGTAGGGATCTTAAAAAAAAAAAATAGGCTCAAAAAGATATAGTTGGAAGCAGTGTTTTAAAAAACGCCGAGTCGAACCGGACTTGCCCGGTTCAACTCGAAAATCGCAAAAAGTGAATCGTATCAGCTAAAAAATCAGAAATCGTCCGGTTCTAGAGAGAACCGGACGATTCTGTACAGTGAGTCGCCGATTCACTTTACGAAATCGGCGAGTCCGAACAGTGAATCGGCGAGTCCGAACAGTGAATCGGCGAGTCCCGTACGGAATTTTTTTTTTTTTTTTGTAATCCATGATGGATTTTTTTGTCATACTTGATCGATTTTTTTGTAATCCATGATCGAATTGTTTTTGTTTTTTGTAATCCATGATCGAATTTTTTGTTTTTTGTAACCCATGATAGAATTTTTTGTAATCCATGATCGAATTTTTTGTAATACATGATCGAAATTTTTTTTTGTAATCCATGATCGAAATGTTTGTTTTTTTTTGTAATCCATGATTGAATTTTTTGTTTTTTGCTTTTTTTGTAACCCATGATAGAGTTTTTTGTAATCCATGATTGAATTTTTTGTAATCCATGATCGAATTGTTTTTTTCTTTTTTTGTAATCCACGATTAAACTTTTTGTTTTTTTTTGTTTGTTTTTTTTTGTAATCCATGATCGAATTTTATGTAATCCATGATCGAATTTTATGTAATCCATGATCGAATTTTATGGAATCCATGATCGAATTTTTTGTAATCCAGGATTGAATTTTTTGAAAATTTGTGATTTTTTTTTTTTAATCCATGATTGAATTTTTTTTTTG